GTGGTCATTAGTACGTTTAGTACTGCCGGGAGCTTTTCTATTTTGGATCTTTTGTTATTTCATTTCCTGTTATGCTCATTTTCGATCTTGGACTTTACTAGAGTAGCTTTGCATGAATCACATATCAGATTAATCTTTAATTATCTAATACTGAGCCTTGGTGCAGCCCCTCAGCTCTTCCGCTGTCAGAAATAAGTCGTTTTAGCTCCTCCCCCTCACCTCAGGCTCACTTTGTTCTGATTGGCTGTCTGTCTTAAACAAAAGATTTGAATTGTGTGCTATATATGTAAACTATATATATGTTTATAGCCAAAACTCTGTGCTTCTGATGACCATATTAAGGATGAGTTTAATTAATATGAGCGTCCACCACTAAAGCAAAGTATATATATTTCACAAAATTAAGGGAAAGCATAATAGGTCCACTTTAGTGAAGGAGGCCCTGCTATGAAAGTACCATACTACAATGTCAGTTAAAGTTAATTTTGTTCAAACAAGCCAAAATGGACAGAAAAAGAAAAGTTGTCAGTATTTTACTGCCTACGCTGTAACCTGGTTTCTCATTGTGGTTAACATTAGTATGCAGTATAATATCATTGTGTATCAATAGCGTGATTTGCGGCACATGTCACAGCGACACGCCTTCGCTGTCAGGATCTCTATTTCGTCATGGTGACGACCCTGCGGGCAGTCCAGGCGAACTTTGACCTAAGTGAAGAGAAGCCAAAGAAAATGAACAACAGTAAAAATGAAGCAGTAGTTGCTCCTATAATTGTTTCCTCAACATCTCCCACCTCTTACCTTGGCGTCCTTGCTAATGGTGCAGCATCGTGAAGTGGAAGTGATGTTGTGGGTGAAGTTGGAGGCCACCAGTACCGAGTATCTGGATGGAAAGGCACTGGACTCACAGTAGCCCACGCAGGCGTAGACCAGATGGGTGCCTTTACATGTGCCGCGACGGTCGCTGCGGATGGTCACGTTGAAGGCTGGAGGAGGGGGAAAAGAACAGGTTTGCAGATCCATGCAGGAATTTAAGACTAACCAATAGCTCACTCCCAAAGAATCATGGTCTTTGATATGCATTCCCACTAAGTCCAAGAGTGCTTAGTTATGTCCCACTGTCATACAATGAAATGCATAAGAGTTCTCAATGTGTACATTTTCTCACCACTAGATATCAGTAGATTGCAGATTCCAATCAACTGAGTTCTGTTTTCTTACCTCTCCCAATTCAACTGCATAGTCCTTGCTACGGTGGCTGCTGTAGGACAAACGGCCAAAAAAACATTCAATTTAGACTGAGCTGATCCGTTTGGACTGAATCCATC